TTTGTTTTCCTTTCGGGTATTAAGTACATGCGTGCCATGAGCGACAAAACGTTTCACGAAGTCACATCAGTAGATAACTCGATTGTATTTCCATCGAAACAAAGTTCTCTGGTATTCTGCGATAGGTATCTGGATTTTCAAAGCATGTTAAGTTTGTAAAAAACTTTGTTTTTAAAGGGCATAGTGCAGAGAACTGTATAATTTACCTGCCTCTACCTAAACTTAAATAAGAGCTTGCAAGACTGTTTTTTGTGTGTTTTTTTAATTTTATTTTGCGGGGGGTGGTTGTTAAATGTATTGGTCGTAATATGTAAGACTGCACTATCGTTTAACTGTTTTTACCAATAAACTGTCCTTAGGATCTCTGCTCCTTAGCCCTATGGGTGGGAGCCTGGAAATATAATTATTACTCCAATTAGAAGCATTGACATAAAATATAACAAACAATAATCGAACGAAGCAAAAATAAAATATCTGCATATCATAGCTTTTCTTTTTTTTAAATGTATTTTGTTTATAAACTTGTAGGTTTGTGTAATTTGATAAATTTGTCCGTTTAAGAATCTTTAGAGTAAAGTTAAATACGTTAACTTCCTATTCCCAAATTCTGGGCCAGGAATGGGGCTTGAAAAAAAATAGAAAGCAAAATATTAACAGAAGAAAACGTATGGTGATAATTGTACATATTTACATAAATTAATCTCGTACTAATTAAACTTACGTTCCCAATAGTTCTTTTCTTCATGAAGCTTCTGCAGTTCAGGATTCAACTCCTTCATTGTTAGCGGACTGACGTTTGATATCGTCTTATAATTTTCCAAACCTGTTCAGTGTTGTCATGAATGGAACTGACATTCAGTAGAAATTATTTCGATGTGATTAAAATCGATACCTTCGACATAACGGAGATTTAACGAACACCGATATGAAGTCGTGTTTTGTTGACTTTCAATCACAGCCTAGACATTTATGATTGGGAAAAAGCAATTCGAAAGACAACGTTTCTAATGATTCCTTACACTCACTCCACTTTAACACAAACTACAACGCTTTACCTGATAGTTTTCTAAAGAAAAGTCGATCAGAAACTCGAAAGATCACAATAACACGAACTTTTATCGGTGGCTGTCAGATCTACTTATAATTAAATCTCACTTTCATCAGATTGGAAATAACTTAGGACCGGGTTTGCTTGTGCTGCCGCCTAGTGGCATCAAATATGTAATTCACCTCGATCTCACCTTAGCCATCTGAGCTAGTCTTCGTGCATGAGTGCTTCTGTCATCGGCCAAGTTATTTGCTTTTCTATTGCAAGAGTGCTTAGCCGAGTGTAGGTCTTCTCGAGCATGGTTGTTAGGAATAATATATAAACAAGGCTTAATTGGAGTCTTCAAGCATGAGTACTTCTATCGTCGGCTAAGTTACATGCTCTTTGGTCGGGAAGCGTGCTTAGTCGAGTGGGTAGAGGAGCTCGTGCGTGGAGGCTTCGTAATAATTTTCGTAACTTTAGACTGTTCGATTTCCATCTTAGAACAGCACTCACCCTTTTTACTGGCAAGTATCCGTACAGCGTATCTAACCATTTCAACATTATAACCCATGGCTAATATGCTTTTAGCTGCCGGACAGTCTATTGGATCCCCAGGGTCCATTTCCCTGGCCTCGGACCCTAACGTCATAAGACATGGAATATCTTCACATTTCTCCACCAATGTCACATTGTCATGTGGTTTAATTTGTAAACTCTCGTCAGATCTCAGATTTATTCCATTCAACTGCCTCAACACAAATAAGTCTCCCTTGCACTGTTTCAGAAAGACACAGTCAGGGTACCACTGCGCATGTTCCTCCCAAGGATTATCTCCTTCCTCCCAACTTCTTAACCCTCCTCCACAGAAAAAGCATCGAACGCAGTCGCCAACACCTGTAAAACAGACGTAAACTTACAGTAAGCTTTTGTGCAATGGTAATTCCTGTCATAATTTCTCTTTTTTAAAGTCCGATTTTAAAATGAGGATAATGCTAACTCAGGCGAGTAATTAGTACAGAATTAAAATAGACTATATAATTTTAATTAATTGCAATCACCTCCGCAATTGATAGATCAATCAAGGCATCAATATTTTGTCTAAAACGCATTCAAAACGGATCAATCTACATTAGGAGGAAAATTGTGTTTTCGAAATGCGAAAAGTTTCAAGTAGAATAACTTCATGGCTTACCAACATAGTAGAATCCAGCTGCGGCCAGATCAGCCGGTTTCTGTTGCAGATAAGAGGGCCATCCTCTGAATGATTCGAGACGCGATGTCATAACGGAGTAATGTGGATGTTTTGGTTTCTCAAGACACTCAGCGATTTTAATGTTATCCTGGAACATTACTGGCTGCCCTTTAGGTCTTTCTGAGAGTGAGCTTTTGTTTTTTTCTTTACCTGTACAACCGTACGAGCCTCGCAATTCTGTGTTACATGCGTTCACATAATTCATGGGTTGTTCCTCGATTCCTGTTCTATCCATAGCGGATAACTGTTTTGGCTGAACTTCATTTTCATGTTTATTGTTCGATTTCACATTTTCTGTACTGTTTTTGCAAAGTGTCACTGCCTTATCTTTATCCTGAAAACAAGTTAGAGAATTTGCATTGAGAACAAAATCAGTACGTCTGCTCCGTATGGGCACATTTCCGTCCCCAGAGCCATTCACAAAATCACAGCTCGGTGACAGTTTTTTGTGAACATCAAATGGCGAGTCACCTTCTTTCCAATTTTTGTACTTCAGTCCACACGAGAAACAAATAGTTTCATCTCCAGTGCCTGAATAGTAGAACCCGGATTGGGCTAATCTGATTGGTTGGACACGGGAAGATCGCGGGAACGATACGAAGGTGATATATCTTGCCCACTCATTTTTCATGCGCTCTCTTGTATTATCCATATTTGACGATTTCAGAATTTCTCCAATATAAGAATGTAATGACGTAAGAGACGGACTTGTAACGATGTCCATATTCTCTGGTTTATTCATACACGTCTATGATTTTTTTATATTGCTATAATAATAAAACAATACTATTACTACTGCTACTACTACTACTACTACTACTACTACTACTACTAATAATAATAATATAAGTGATTTTTTATATTGCTATAATAATAAAACAATACTATTACTACTACTACTGCTACTACTACTACTACCACTACTACTACTACTACTACTACTACTACTACTACTACTAATAATAATAATAATAATAATGTTTTTTTTTTAAAAGTACATGCCCACCCCTTTCCGACTTTGCACCCCTCCCCTAAAGTCTCGCACCCACCCGCCAAGTTATAGTCTCTAGGGTTTAAGACAGTCCCAAAGACAAAATTAAGTTATATATCTGATTTGTCATTCCAAACATAATAAATTTATACTTTTCTACGAAATTATGACCGCATGGCACAAGCTCTGTGGTCTTAATTGTAGACCCCATGGCCAGTGTCGCTTGCATGCATGAGCTTTACATCCACCCATCTCAAAACCTTCAAATGATTGTAGCCCATTAATGTCGCTCAAATTTTGCAGAAATGAAAAAGCGCATTTGACTTGTTCATTTACATTAGTAGAAAGCTATTTTTAAAGTCAATTTTTTTAAGTGTGAGAATGTCTCATACTGAAATGTTTCTAACCTTCCTAGGACTGAATATATCATTTTAAGTACACCTACCTGTTTTATGTTGCTCGTGAATATTCAACGTTGTTGTTCACAAACAATGCGCAGAGTATTTATATGACCTTCTGACGTCATGCGAAAAGTGTCGGTCAAAAGTCGATGCTTCTTAAACGTACAACTTAGTATTGATATTGACCGATTATACGCAATTCCTTCCATAATTATATGTTAAACTAAAGAGTTAAATTAGCCACTATTCAAATTTTGGAATAAATGGAACTAAATCCTCATGTTAAAATCTGTATTTCGTTATACGTGCCAAGTAGCACGAGTTCGGAAACATGCCATGCTATTTTTCCTTCCTGGTTAATTTTTGCACTACTCGTATTTACATTATGTCATTTCTATTTTAAATGTTTATTGACTGGTTTAGAGTATTCTGGAGCTGAGCAGATTTCAGTATATATATATATATATATATATATATATATATATATATATATATATATATATATATATATATATATATATATATATATATATATATATATATATATATATATATGGATAGATAGAGAGATAGATATGTTACCATTACGCGTGCTATGTTTAAATTTCTACCTGAATTCGTTTGAAGTTCGATATATTTCCTTAATAAATATTATTAGCATTTTTACAGACTACTTTGGGCACCTCCATTGCAACTAAGCTACACTTAAAATAGTTTCCCACGTTTTGATGTAGATGTATGCATGTAAACATAGATACATAATCCAAGTTAAACGTGTAAAAATGTATAGAATCAGTGGCTGTTATCTTGTTCCGTTGGTACAGTCGCTGCCCAGCATTTTATCATCTTGTTGTAGCTTATTGTATACATTCTTGAAAAGGTTCCTTTCACAAGAGTTTGACTGATTTGTATTACTTTTAGTCCATATTAGTCTGAATTCCATTTTATTTTGTTGTGAAGGGCTACATGGAATAAAATATAAGAGCAAATACTAATGTAAATAGTAAAAGCTGTCAATTAGAGACAGGTAAGGTATTACACTTTTGTCTTTCTTAGATGCTATATGAGTGTATAAAAATATGTATGCGTGTATGTGTGTGTGTGTGTGTGTGTGTGTGTGTGTGTGTGTGATGAATTTTTCACCCATCTTTACAAAAAAAAATTCATTCATATCGCTATGATATTTGCAGTGTGGCAATTTATAGCACTGGAAAAACTGACGTTTAGCCTGATGTCTCACCCATCACATTATCCTAACAATAACCTCTTAGTAATACTGAGCGACGAGCTAGGAAGCTTTTAATACCATTTTGTAAGTCTTTGATGTAACTCGACCGGGTATCGAACCCGCGACCTACCGCATCTGAGGCGGACGCTCTAACCACTAGCCACTGGAGCTGTCAAAAAGAATTCTAAATGATCTGCAAATTATCAGTGTCCATAGAAATATTTTATTTTTTAATTCTATTAATGTGAGTGGATAGCAAAGATACCCACTGTTTTCCTTCAAGCCAGAGAGACATCAGTATCCATGCACAGTTTGTAGTACTTGAATCTACCGCAATAAGGAAAGCCATCTGAAGGTGCTAGGTGCTGACACAGTGCAGTAAGGGATCTTCAAGATTTTTCATTGTCAGTGGCAGGAAAGGACTTAAATTGTCCTTCCAAAATATACCCAATCAGGCCATATTAAAGGAAAACATAGCTAACAGACGAAATATGAAAATGCATCTTCCGTAAATGCAGTTTATTACGAAAATCCCTATCTTATAAAAAGAAAAACTGTTTTCTGAAACTGAAAAGGTTAGGCAATTTGAGCAACCATTGGCCTCTGGATAAACTCAAAACGTTTGCCGACTTGCCCTTTGGTAATAATAATAATAATAATAATAATAATAATAATAATAATAATAATAATAATAATAATAATAATAATAATAATAATAATAATAATAATGACAACAACAACAACAACAAATGAACTGACAAGGAGGAAGAATACAGAATTTATACGTTTAAAAGTCAGCAAGGTAGAAAAAAAATTGCTAATTGGAGACTATCTAGTATCAGATGAATGTTATACATAGCCAAGGTTTTAAATATTAACTTAAGACCCCGTCTCCTATTTAAATTTTATGTCATTTGAGGTTAATTCCATGTAAAATATAAGTGAATGTGGTCCCATACCAAATTATTATCGACATCGGAGGAATAGATTTTGCTAACCAACATAACGCACAAATGAATGAAATATATTCATTTATTGCAAGGATCAACTGGCTTCACATAATTAAAATACAGAGAATCTTCTTATAAAATCATTTAACCACCCAATATGATTTAGTCAACAATAAAAATGAGCTCTACGTTCAAATGAGTACCACTTTAATTTTAAAAAACCCACCCAACAAACAGATAACTTTACGCCAAAAAATGATCGAAACGAGAATTGTGATGAGCGATAGATTTATTAATAGAAGCGATTTACTCTAATAAAATATAAGGTTAACGATAAAGATTAACCCTCCCACAACAAAACTGAGCTACCAATAAGGTTCCAACAAGAACATAAACTCCATGTATTTCCCTAACCACAATTCTCTTTTCCAGACACCCACCATAAGGGGAAGTAACTTACGCTCATGAAAATCCGAAGAAATTTAAAAGTTACGGCAGTACTAGGTCAAACTTTATACTTGTATCATTCTACTTTTCCATTATGTATGACTTCGAAAAAACAGATAAAGGAACGTGCTTTCCGTGACGGATTGACCTGTTTCAATTTTTATTTCTTTTTATGTTATCTTCTAATCATCTCCACACTGGCATCACCCTGTGTACGCCGCTCTTATGCTATACATGCTAAATACGTGCAACTGTAACATGAACGTTATGAAAGTGCGATAATATGCCGCAAAATAGGAAATTCCGGACCACCATCATTACCATCTGACTAGCATTAGTCCCGTTAAATTTGAACGTGACCAGAATTTCTTCTGAATATTAACCGACGTTATAAAATTTTTTGGAAAAATAAAATATTTCAGTATATTTACAATATAAAGGACATGACAAATTTATCCTTTCTCTCACACTACAAGGTGAGCATGTGGGAAAAATATTTTACCTATCTGCACGAAGTTGGGTGGCCAAGTGATCTAAGCCGCTCGCTTGTACAGGTCATTGACATCTCACCTCCGTCCGCGTGAGTTCGATATGGCCATAGAACACAATTAATTTTACTATATAGTCTCTACATTTGTTTCTCAGTACTGAACTTTCCACTGTGTGACAATCAATACAAATCATATGTTGATCTAAAATACCTTCCAAGATGACTTTACGGTGAAGTTCTTGTCAAGGGTTGACCTGCATTTTTTTGAGAGACTGAATTGTGAACAAAACACCATTGAACGGAACACTGATTTCACTTCCGGATCATCACCATGACCATATTACTCGATGTGCACTGTCGCCGAAATACACACAGACAACCACACCATAAGCTCACATTTTAAAGAATAAAGAATTGCCTTTAAATCCTTACCACGAATGCCAAAATCTGACTCTTGTATCACCACCAAACGGAGACAGGAAAAAGTGATCTAAAAATAGACTGGGACTACATTCGTGGATACTGAACAGGATTTTATTAATTATGTACTTTTTGCCATATCCGGGCTTGGTCAAAATGGGTATATAGGAAAGCTTGCCAGTAGCTTCTCTTTGATCAGTGTTTTTACCCGGTGCTTTCTCGTGTTCTTCCTTCACCAAATAACTGGCCGACATGTACAGAAAAATGGCGTTAAACCCCTAAAACCCATAAAAAAAATATCAGCAACAGCATCATAATTTTAGCTTATAAATATTGCTGACGTAACTATGTATATAATACGGTATTGCCGTCTGCATAACAGGACAAGTTGGTCTGTCTTTAAGTAGTCCGCTGTCTTGGGTAGTGATACAACGAAGTTTCTGCCAGTTGATGTCCAGTTTTAAACACAGTATTGCCGTATAATACCTAACTGATATCGATTACACAATCCGTTGCAGCCTTGAAAACACTAAATATTATAAGTAGTCATGGGACACGAAATACACAATCCCTTTCTATAACCATGTATATGGTGTTGTAAATCCACGTGCAGAGAAGTGAATGAACAAAAAATATAGATAAAAACAACGAATTATGTACTGGTGACTGCATATCAAAAGTGATATAAGGACAGAAAAAGCAGCCAAAGTTGCCACTTGCAACGAAACCACCAGAAACAAACCTCGTAACATCAAAACTTTAATTAAGAGCGGTATTCATGATGTAATAATTCCAATTTGTATGAACTGCTGCGTTTTCTACGTTTTGATTGGATGTAAAAGGTCAAGTGATTCTGATCAGGAAGTTTTTACACATCGTTAAATTCTTCGGACTACTTTTGGTTCCCCGTGTCCAGATCATTTTGATTTGAAGTTTTATCTATATCCACGTTTTACACCTTAATAATAACAACAACAAGCTCCCACCCATCCACTCCTGTGATTTTCGATAAAAATAAAATGACAAGCCACAGATTTTATCGACCATTAAAAGTAAAAACAATATAGATGCATAGACCTTCCTGAACTCCAATACTCATCCTTTTTACTGAAGAAAGCATATGGCAAGTTTTAGAGCCAATCTTTTGAAATTATTGCATTTCACCTTGACAACGTGTTACAGCAGCAGTTATTAAAAGTCAGGGTAGTGTCAACAAAGGGATCTCACTAAAAATGGACACGATTTTGCTTTTGAAAGATCGAAATGCGTATAAAGTAACTGCCACGTTTGTTCAATTCAGTTCCTGATACAGGAAAGGTATAAACTTGGATATCTTATTTCCGCGTTTGATGTGTAAACATCTCCGCAAGCAGTGTTAATCGATTATACAAGTCGCTAGCCACTCAAGTTATAGAATAGCTGCCAGTCAAAAGGCTTGTACTCCTCGCACCCAGGAGTTAAACATTGGTCCAGGGATCAAAAGGAAGTCCGCAGAGTGAACGGGACGTGTTCTCAAACGCCACGTAGACAGACAAGCGTGAAGACATTATCAGCTATGTTTGATTGGGACCGTCCACAACGACATCCAATCGGAATTAAGATAAAGGGTGGGATTAATTCTTAGATCGAAATAATAGCTTAAACGTGCAATGATTTTTCATTATGACTGGGCAGATTATAAGAAGTTCATCTTGCCATATAAGGATAATCCGAGAGAAACCACTCGAAGCCACTCGTAATTTGGCGGGAATCTTACGATCAGAATTGTGAGAGAAGGAAAAAGCTTTGACAAGGTCAGTAAGCTATTTGCTCGATTTTTGCAAAACATGACGGCATCATAATTATAAGTATTTATAGCATTATACTTAACTACTGGGATCGTTTTAGTATGTAGAATTACTTTGAAGTATTTCATTTCTGAGCGTATTTGAGAAATGGATTTGAGTTTACGTAGATAATTATGTAGATTTCTAGTTCGTCAGAATTAAGATTGTAATTCGTTGGTATGACACTTCGTAGTAACCGGTACCTTTAGTAATGTGTTATGTTAGAGTTTACGCATGTTTGAATTAGAGTTTAGGAAATTGATTGAGGTATGTAAGACTAATTACGATAGATGTGTAAATATATCAGAGCATGGATATTTTAATATTTGTATATTTGTCTGAGTTGTGATGTAAGGATATGCGTCTGATAGTTGTTTATTGGTTTGTGTAATGGAATTATGAGTATGTAATGCTGTGAAGCAATTTAGTGATGTATGTATAAGAGTAAGCAATACCGTACATTTATTATGTTGTGTTTTATCATACAAGAATGTGTGCGTATTTCAGTGTGAATGAATGCGTGATCAATGAAATTTAATAGCCTTATCTGATGATAGGCTGGGTATAGTGTGAGATGTGAGCGCTGAGGAAAATATTGTACTACCCTTGTGTTTTAACGGTGTAAGTTCGTCGTCCCGAGTCTCAAAGAGGGAGACGGAAATGAGACTGACAGTGCAGTCAGAGTCGACAACGTGGAGTCGACATAGGAAAGAGGGATAGAATGGGAGGATGAAGTAAGTGGTCTGGAGGAGGGAATAGAAAAGGAGGAGAAGGAACTTGGAGGAAGTCAGGGAGGACGAGAGGGAATTCGGAGATATAGAAGAATACACAGATGAGTAGAACACATAGACATGTGGAAATCTCTCACACTACGTATCAAATGATGCGATAGAAAAGGGTCTAGCGGAAGAAATATATATAGGGAAATTCGAAATATTGACCATTCCATTGGTATGAAATAGTTATTATTGAACTTCACACTTTTTTTGTATCTTTAATCATTTAACCGTCGGCATTGCTGACTGGAGACTCGGAAAT